GCTGTTTTAAATTTTGTTTATTCTTTTCATTTCTGCTTATATATTTTAAAATAGGTTTGTGGGATTAAGATAGATAGCAATTATTGCAGTATTGCAGAGTTGTTTAGAGGCTTGTTCACTTCTCTCTCTTTGTTTTTTTTCAAACAAGAATCTTATCATTTCCTTCTCAAGGAAAAATTATTTCTGAAAAACTAGTTTGGCGGGTATGGCTTTTGATTACGTATTTCTTTTCTCTCCTTTTGTGGGCTTTTTTATTTTTTTAAATTTTCTTATCCCCTTCTTCCTATTTAAGTTAGGTTTGAGGACCACTCCCGGACGTTAATCAAAAAAATTAAGAATTGGCAATGTTGTCTTATTACATAGAACTTATCTTTGCCTTACCTTGGATTTTAACATAGTTATTCAAATATAGCAATACTTCATGAAATGTTTTTTTAATAATTTTATTATTAGGTTTTTAAAACGGTATTTAATTTGGAATTTCTTAAATGTTTATATTTAAGGCTATTAGTTGATTTTTTATTCTTAAATTTAAAAAAACTTCTGTTAGTTACCTTACCCCTCTTTATCATATTAAGTTCAGTTTTCAGGGACCACTCTTTGCTGACATTATCAAGAAAATTTAAGGAATCAGGCATCTGCAACGTCGGTTCCTCCTATAAAATTTTCCTATGCCTTTTCGACCTTTAACATATTTTTTCAACCCATAGCATAGCATATGTCATAAATGTTTTCTTTTCTTATTTTTTTTCTTGCTCTTGCGAATTGAACCGAAAAATTTTTTCTTGTCTTGTTTATATTTAATCCAACGTCCATATATAAAACGAGCAGTGGCAATGGAATATTTCTTCTTTTTAGGAATGGAAAAGATATGAGCTATGCAAATTTAAAAGAATCAAGCCAGTTTTTTGTTTTTTCTTTATTACATTCTTTTAGGTTTTCTCCTAATCTCCATTCATAACTTGCAAAGTTGCACAATGGATTGATTGGTTTTTCATAAAATTTTTATAAAATATTTTGTTACAATCAGTGGTCTTCAATTACATTGCTTTTTAGTGTTTTTCAACAAAAGATCAAACTTGTAATACCAAAACAAACCCTTTCCGCAAGAAAACAATATTTTGAACTTGTGCCCTTGTATTTTTACCTCCATGTTAGACTTGATGGAAATGGGTTTAGCCTAGTTACTGGAAAAACAGATTAAGGGATTAGCCCTTGGAAAGTGTTATCCCAGGTCCTTCTTCCATGTTTAACAGTTACCATTCCTCTCCAATCAACTTTCCATTCAAAGCATGAATCATGGCCAGCAAGGGTTTGTTTGTACCAGTTGTAGTAGACATATGAGAGTTCCAGGGCACCCTCTTCTTCCACTTCCAAATGCAACAGTTGGAAATATAGCCCTCTGACATTCTAACCTGGATTGTTTCCATTTGCCTCTTGTATTTAAAAAAACCTTTCTGGGCAAAATTTCTAGTGGTTTTTATCAGCAAGTTAAATTTAAATTTGATTATTATGATTAGATGTAATGTTTTGTTATTTATTGACATTTTGCCTTCAATTTGTATTTCGTTTTCTTTTTTTTATTTTTTTGGTAGAAAATTAATTTGTCTGTGTTTACTTTCAAGTATTGAGATAGTTAAGCTCAATTAACCTAAAATTAGGAGTTCATTGTCAATCAGGCAGAAAAATCTATTGGATTTTATTAGACTAATAAAAAAATTTTGGGCACTAATTTAATATTTAAGTCTATTTAATTAGAATTTAATAATAATTTAGCATGCAAAATAGATAAAGTTGATTGATTTATTTAAATTTAATTTATTTATAAAAAAATTAACTTTATTATTTTCTAAGGGTTTTGTTTTCCATTCATGAAACAGTTTAATTTGAAATAAATTGAAAATATCTGTTGAACATACTCATTTTGTTTCCAAATGTTATTATTATATTGTTTGAGTGAACACCATTTATATATATACCAACAATAAGTGTTATATCTAGGATAGCAAGCTGTCTCAATCACTATAAGAGTAAAAACATAAATTCAATTCGAGTGGAGAAGCACGCTTAGTAGAAAAGAGAAAAGTAAATAAAAAATAAAAAATAATAAAAAATAAAAAATAAAAAAAAAGAAATTTAGGTTGAAATGGGATCATAGCTCTTGATTCTTTAAGAAGAAAAACAATACAAAGTTGGTGCTCAAAATCTTCACCAACTTTCTGAAGCTTTCTTCCAGTTCCCTGCAAATCTAAGTTCTCCCAAAACCAAATAAAGTCTGACAAATTAAATTTCCCTGAAAATTCTGCAGCATCGTGCAACAACTTTCTCACCTCGTTGGCTTCATCTTCATTATTTGAGCACCTTTTGCTCATAGTCATTCTCGATATTACGTTGTGTTAGGATTAATTCAAAATAATATTATAAAAAATCTGTTGAGATTTCAATTTTATTTAGTGCAGATTTTCTGCATAGAATTTGATATTTTTGTAAAAGTGCCTTATTACTGGGAGGAGCTGGTCTAACATTCGACCTCCCAGTAGCTCCTTCAAGCAGATTTTTTTCATGAACTTCCAGTAAGGTCCATAAGCAGTTCATGAACTTCCAGTAAGGTCCATAAGCAGCAAAGGCGAAACCAGAGCCACATGTGAGGTAATCTACAGCAGCCATTTTTGGACGATCCAAGAAACAATTTTCGTGGGTTTTAAGGAATTCTTTCGCCATCTCTGGGGAAGAAGCAACAACGCAAGGGACAGAACCAAGGAATAGGTGAATTAAAGGTCCATAGCGAGTTGAAAGCTTGTAAAGAGCTTGATGAGGCATTGGAGCAAGGAGATGGAGATGTCCAATGACTGGTAGAGCTGGTGGGCTCGGTGGAAGATGGCTTGTGGCTCGAAATTTTTTTAGTATTGCCCTAACTGCAACCACGGATAACCACGGATGCTAGCCATATGAGAAAAAGTATTATGAACTCTTGGAAATAAGCCATGTTTGGATCTTCCGGATTTAATTGAACAAGACAAGGTATCTGAGAGGTGTTTATTACTAGGAAGTGTTTCTTAATGCTGTGCAAGAAACGGCGGAGGGGCATTTAAAGAAAATGATTTACTCAAAAGCAAATGCAAATTAATAATAATGATTACATTTGTCAATGCACCATTTCACGTACGGCATCTACATAGAATCACAATTGTATTATATATTTTTCCATTAGTCGTGAGTAGAATATCTTGAATTAAAATTAAAAACCTTAAATTGAAAATTGACTATTATAATTGTATGTTATATTTAATTATTACTTAATTATATAATTATATTTATTTTGGGTGAATTTGCTTTCAAATTTGAGTCATAAGATGTATTTGCAGTTAATTAATTCAAAATTAGAAGTTGAAAGACAAGTTAGACAGAAAAAAAAAAAGAAGAAGTTATTGAAAAAAAAAAGAAGAAGTTATTGGACTACTGAAAATTTAACAAAAAAAAAAGTCTTATTTCTGCCATTAAATGAAAATATAATGGACTAAATAATAAAATTTGAAGACTAAACTGTTAAATATTATAGGATATTCTTGTTGTTTTTCTCACTTACAGGAGAAGTGAGAGGTCTTGAGTTTGAGCGCTCTCGACCACAAGTGTTTTCATAAATTTAGTGAATTTATAAGATGATATAGGATGTAAATCATAAGCAGTCTATTGAACCGCCTATGTATCAATATATATATATGTTAATCTTGACCACAAGTGTTTTCACAAAGAAAATCTTGAAATAGAAAAATCTTGAAATAGATTATCATGGATTATTATAATTTTAGTTTAACATCTTATACATAAACTTGTACCATAATTAATTGTAAGCAACCTAACTTGCAAAGTTGAAAATGTAAGTCTTTTATGATTATTTTTTATTTTCTTCAAATTTGGAAACTTCTTTAGTGTTTCCTTTTTACCAAATTTATTTCGAATTGGACTATAGGGCTTAAATTTAATTTATTTGGACTCTTTTAATTTAATTAGACTTAACCTATTGGAATTATTTTGTTTTAGCTAAGGAAGGTAAAATTTAATTGAAATTATCTTGTCAATCTAATATAGGATGAAATTGACTTCATTTAAAGCGAACAATTACTCTAATGGTTAGAGTTGGGCATAATAATTTTATAGGAAACATATCAATTCATATTATAGAGCTTAAATTTGAATATTTGAATTTTATATTAATGATTTTAATTTTAAAATTGGATTTGTTTTAAGCCTTAATTTGAAATTGGGAGAAATTGATTTGATTTTGCCTAAATTGATTTTTAATTGGACTATAGAGCTTAATTTAATTGATTTTGACTAATTAATTTAATTAGACTTGACCTATTTAGAATTATTTTGTTTTAGCTATGGAATGTAAAATTTAATTGTAAATGTAGGTTTAAATTAATTTTGACTTAGTGAAAAAAAAAACAGCCTTACACGCCAACTTTGACTAATAGCTAAATAACTAATAAAAAAATAAAAACAAAGCTAAATAACTAATACATTAAAATCAATTTTATGGTACCTTAATATCACGACTCATTCCATGGGCCGGATCGGCACTAGGATTCAGGTAAGTTTAAGGCCCTCGAAACTTGTAGTAAGTCCACGTTACAAAGTCTATACACATAAGATGGATTTCTAAGAATAGTAAGTCCACATTTTTTTTCCTGACCCAACTTCAATATCTCAATTTAAACATATGATTAATTATGGTTTTATCTCATCAAAATGGTGAAATTTCAAACCGGCAGAACACTTAGTAAATAAATAAATAAATAGGTGCGTGAAGAGATAGTATTTGACCGAGAATTGATTGAATGGTAAGAAGGGGAAGAGGAAAGAAAGATTGGAGGAGGAGGAAGATAACGATGTCGACGACGATGAATGATGGTGGGGGGCAGAAATTGCACGGAAGATACGACTGTCGATTCGACGACTGCCAATGAACTGCCGTGTCGGTCGTTCGGCATTGATCTTTTGCTTTTCTTACCACCGTTCTCGCGTTTGTTGGCGTGTTGGACGCAAGTTTTCTTCGAGATTCCAAACAGAGAGATGAGAGACGAGAGACGAGAGAGAGAGAGAGGCCGTGGGGAATTGTGCATGTCGTTCTTTCTCTTAGGAAGTTTTGTTGGTTTTATCGAGCACAATTCCACAAAATTCAATACCCACACCAAATCAGTGCTCTTACTTTCATATTAGCCTCTAATAGTCAAGGTCACACACTTAATTAACCCTTTTTCTTGTAGCTCCTAAGTGGATTATCGTTTCTCTACTTACTTTGTTATTTGTACTCCTCTCTAACTTATATATATTAATTCTAATTCATATGACCTACGAGTCCCAATTGTATTTTTGATCCCCATTGTAATAATTTATTTAAATGTTTGCTTTACTTTTCTAATTCTTATAAATTTAAATCTCATAAATTCGCAGTCATTACCATTGTGATCCTTCAACCTGATAATTCCTACTCGTTCGCAGTCTCATTTTTTTCTTATGAGAAAGATCACATTCAGAATTCATTCTTCATTAAGTAGGAATCCCGTACCTATACCAATTCTACCGTGTTATACGCCAGATCGATTATATCTTCTTCTTATAATTTTTATAAAACTAAACGTAACTACTACTCACAGACACTTATTCATATAATACAATATCCACACCTATACCGTTGTTATTTGACAGTATCCGATCAAAGTTCCTACGGTAGAGGGATATAATACACTGCTCGACCCTGCTGGCGTCCGCATATCTTGCCACTCTGATTGTCGCTATCTTATGGCCAGCTCTTCACGACTCTATGCGTCTGTTCCTGCAAATTCTGAGTCTACTATCTTCAAAAAATGTCTAAGGCTTCCATCTCTATTTTCTATATTATATAACTGCGGCACCAATAAAAAGAAATGTTATCTCAAATAGCTTAATATGAATTAAGCATGAGCCCTATAAGGAATCAAAGAATATTTTAAACAAGCCAAGTAGTAAAATCCCAAAATAAATACCAGAAGAAGTAGATAGACATACAGCCAAATCTTAGTCAAATGATTATCACATAAAATTGAGCTTCATTGAGTAAATTCATTCATATGAAAAAAGCACTCCAATCCATCGTAATTGAACTTACTCCCCAAATAATGCGGCAAGATAAGAAGGCTTCCAATGATGATCAACGCCAATGTAATCAAAAAAAGGATTCTATATGCATAGGTCTCTAAGCAAGATAATAGACATTGAGATTACTGTTATTCGCCTTTAACATGCTAGTACAGTACTTGTTACCGAAGAAAAAAACAAAAACAAAAAAAAACTAAAAAAAAACAGAGAAGAACCACCGACATATACTGCGAAATAGCTCGGCTACTATATGAGTATGTTTTTTAAATAAGATCCTTAAGAATATTCATTACTAATAATTAAATATATACCAGTTTGACCTTATATCATAATTTATTTAACATAATGGAAATTTCAGATTAAATCCAAAATATAGAATCTATTTGAAATCTTCTGTTTGGGAGATATTATTGATGCTTTGGCATAATTAGAAGGTTAATCTTTCAGTATAAAATAATTGGCTATTTATATTGATTAGGAACGACAAAATGCAAACCATTTCCTTATAAATATTTTCCAGTCCTGGAGCATTATTTTTCGTCGTAAATCATTGTTATGTATATCAACACCCATTAGAAGTAGTTTTTAATATTATCAAATTTCTTAATGATATTAGAACAAATGCCTACAACTATCACAACATCTCCCATTTGGTGAAAAAACATACCAAAACTCTGAACTTGTTAAAACGTATTTCACACATTGATCTCTCCAACACAATCGCATACTTAGTCAATTCTCTAGTTTATTAGCTTGGGTCAAACTTGCTTTACCGATTAACATTAAAAATAAAACGTTACCTTACATAAAATTCCATCATAAATGAGGAAAAATCAACTCATATGAACCAAGTAGAAGTAAATTAATAGAGCGCCACATTAATTACCAGTCTGAGAAGTCAATAAGAATCTTCCAACTTTCTAGTGAATCTATACCGGATATAATAGGTTACTGATAACATCATAGTATTGCCATTCGAACCCTCTCTCTGTTATCAAATATATATATTAGTATATATCTTCCCCAGCTATAATCTTTGTTCTAATAGTCTCTCTTTATGACTATTTTTAATTTTCTCAAATTTCGAAACTTTCTTATATCTTTTATGAATGAGATCTCTCCTTCATTTTTATAATTAATATTATTATTTATGTTTCTTTTTTTTTTTTTTTTTTTGTAGTATTGGAAGAAGGAAGATTACGAACTTGGATATTTTTATCAAGTCGTTATATACTACTTACCATATAGACTATTGCCTTTAGTGTGCTTCGTCTTATCTTTTTAACTCCTAATATTATTTATCTTAGTTATAATTTTTTTATCAACCTGTCGATTCTATTGGTCCCATTATTCTTTGTATCTAACGATCTCTATTGGATTTTTGTAATGATTGCCAGGATGGTTTTAACTTACCAACAACATATATACCTAAATTCATATGTACTATTGTATATTATTGTTTAATTACGCATTAGTCTTTATTGCCTCAATACAATCATTAATACTTTGTTATATTTCCCTCTAAATAATCATGTATTTATTTAAAAAACCCCTTAAAGGGGGAGGGTAAGTCTTACCTAAAATGAGTAGTAACAATGTGACCGTAACTGAGATAAACATAACATTCATAACTATCATATTTTATACGAGTAACCAACATACTTAATATGATTCCCTATGTCCTGTGTTATTTCATCGAGACAAGCCACATTCTTTTTTAACTTAGACTAGTTTTAATAACTTATGAATATTCCTCAAATGATGTTACTAAACAGGATATACCACAAACACCACTTTCAAATATTTTATTCAGAGTTACGCACAGATCTCCATGGATTACGGTAGGTTACATTTGTTGTAGCCGCTTTACTCCCGCGCGAGATTTAAATTAGGCACGTCAATGTGATGGCGGGATATGGCGCTTTCAAAGTGCGGGCTATTGAGATATAGT